TAACATCCTATGTTTTGTCACTCACCTTTTAACCCCTTTGAATTGCATTTGATATGTTTGAAAGATGCAGCACAGACAGACACAGATCCCAGGCTGCAGTATGATAATGATAATGCCACCACTTTTTTGAGAAAAAATATCTTAAAAAGCATGATACGATTGCTACCATTAATATTTCTCTTCTTGCTTCCCCTAACCCACATTTTTACTTTCTTTATTACTTCCTTCAGAGTAAAGAAAGTGGCTTGTCTCTTAGCACTATGAGTCACTTCCAGTTTCATTTTACAGAACAATATTACTTCTTTTGAAACACTAAATAGGCTCATAGGTAACAGATCTATTGTAAATCTAACGTTTCTGTCTTCACAGGTACAGCAGGAGGCAAAGGAAGAGAAACTGTTGCCTTGTTATCTATGCTGGTAAATTTAGAAATCTCAGAACCAGCCTCTTATTTTTGTCACTCCGAGCCTTGATGGGCTGTGTATTAGTGTGTATGTGACAGACCAGAGCTCTGGTCTGTCACAGTCTGTTTTGAATCCCTGCAGAGCTAAATGGAGATGAGACCCAGTTACAATCCTCATCTTGGATTCGACCCAAAGAATAATTCCGAACATCCTGCTGCAAAGTGTTTACTTCCTGCTTAAACAGCCACATGTAACACTTTGTGAAGAATTGACAGAACAGGATGACAACCACCAGGCAGCTTTGTGCTCTTGAAAGCAGATGAAAGCTTGAATGCCAATATTACTAAGCATGGATCCAATGCAGGAAAGGAAATATCATAGCAAATGTTTTTTCATACACTGATTACCATTTGGACATTGGATATTTGAATGCAAACCAAAGGGGACAGACCAGCACTACCACGTACACTGCAAGGATGATGTTCTTAGACTGTTATTATCCTCCATACAAAATTTCCCAGAAATCCCTCCAATAGTTGCCAAAATATTGTGCTCTATGTAAGTGGGATGTGGTGGTTACTTCAAAAGAGCTTCAGTCATTGTTGTGTTGAATTCAGAGACTCTTTAAGTCGTATGTTTATTTGAATAAGCATTGTTTCTGAGTTTCTTGTCATGGAAATATTATGTTTTTAATATATTTTTTCACATTTCCCATGAAAGTTTAAAAATATTATTTTTAAAAGCTAAAGCAAATAGAGAAGCTTGCTCTGGTGCATAGAAACAGGATATAGGCACAAACATTATTGTGACTTTCTTGTCAAAACACAGGTGCTAGTGTCACAAATACAATTTAACTTGTTAATTATTTAAGTATTTCTCATTTATTGGCCTTTGTACTCCATATTATACTTTTTTACCCCACTGCATTTATTAAACAGCTGTAGTTAGTTTGAATATAAAAATATATTAACATATAACTGACCTCTAAAATCTAAGTCACCAGAAATCTATCTTACTCAAGCTACATTAGCAAAGTATTGGTGTTTTAATGCATTTCATTATTATAGACTTCACTTAATAATGTTCCATTTTAAGTGTTAAGGTGAATTAGTTTCCAACTGGTTCCACTCAAGTCTGATGCAGCATAGAGGTTCAATCATAGTAACTTGAAATACTTATCATTACATTTGAGATTTTTAAATTAATATCGCAACCAAAAACTATTTTCTGTGCAACGATATAGCTGAGTAATGGCACCTTGAGCAATCCTGTAAAGTGATTCAAGATTCCCTGCAGGTCCAGACACTTTAATTTCAGCTTTCATGCATGGGACTTCTTGTGAAACCTTTGAGCCTCCCCACATTTATATTGCAAAAGGCTAAACAGCCACCAGTTCAAGGAGCTATTGGGTGAGCTTAAGTCAGAGTACACAGATCTGCTTTGCCATTGTGTGGTGCAATGGCTGAGTTGTGCAAACATGCTCTCATGGTTTAGATACTGAGGGAGGAAGGGACGGAGATGAAAACCTGTTGTGAAACTTGGTGATATCTAGAGGCTGTGTGATTCGGTCTCCCTGAGGGACAGTACCAAGTACCCCTCAGAGCCAAATATCAATCTTCAAGAGCTCAACTGGTTTCTTAGCTCTGCTTTCAACTATGAAATCATTTGAAATTAAATACAGCAAGTGCAAATGGAAAGGCATAACACAATATCTACATTACAGCAAGAACAAGAGTCTGCTGTGACTGATAAACAGGTGTGTGTGCAAAAGTCCTTCAGGTGTTCTGCGAAAGCTTTCAGGACATGAAAAGTCAACAAAAAGGAACTAAACATATTTGTTAAGCCGGTCACTGATGTTGCCTGATTACATACAACAAAAAATCATTGAGCAGAAAAGTAATGAACAGTTCAAACATCAGTACAACCCTTTGCTCAAGTTTCACAAACACTTTCTTTGACCTGAGGATTTTTCCATTCAGAGGGAATCATGCACTAAAGTCTGCATCTCTCTTTGGGATGACCTACTGCTGTGAGCTGATATTTTCAAAACTAACTGATGCAACGACTCAGTTCTACAATGACTGACCCAAATCTGGAAAACCAGTGATTTGCATCATCACTACAGATATCGGATGCCTCCCCACAGAGAAGCTGTTCTAACCATCGAAACAGAGAGGTCAGTGTGACATGTGTGTTCAATAACTTAGTATCACTCTCCAAGGACGTGACAAAAGGTAGGAAAAAGATTTAACTACTTCCCATAATTAATGTCTGTGAAGCACTTTGTAAAACTGTTTTTTTAGGAGAACAATACAAATTATCATTCTTCTTATTATTACGTTATTAAGTAGAAGTGTCAAATTATTCCCACATTCATGAATCAAAATATATATTATATTCTATAATCTTCAGAGCTTTCCAAATTTAGAAGGACTGAGGCCCCCCCTAAATATTCTGCAAATCCTCGAAGGCACGAACGCAGATTTGCACATTAGCAAGAATGAGGCGCAATATTGTAGTGAACCCAGTGCTCTGTTATTTAATTCTGAGCGTGGAGTAAAAATATTTCATTTTTAAAAGCAAAGAATAATCCTGACAAGTAATCAGGATCTCACTATTGATTAAAAATAACAGAGATTACCATTTTGACCAAAATCATTCACAAATGAATTGTATCCAAATGCAACAGCTGGAGGGTCTACACAGTGAAACACAGCTGGAGGGTCTACACAGTGAAACACNTGGAGGGTCTACACAGTGAAACACAGCTGGAGGGTCTACACAGTGAAACACGGCTGGAGGGTCTACACAGTGAAACACAGGTGGAGGATCTACACAGTGAAACTACACAGTGAAACACAGGGAGGCTCCAGAAGTGACATGTGAAGAAACCACAAGATAGCGCATGCGCAGAGGCAGAAGGGGTAGTGACGGAGCTAATCTGACACACACACACACAGACAAACACACAGGTTGGTACTGTAAAGAAACATGTCTTCCTCTCAGCAGAATGTGAGGCGGACTCGCAGATAGGACGGTCCAACAATCATCCAGGCCGAGTGGTGAGTGTTCTCGACAGGTTGATCCAGTTCATGTTCGCGGATGTTGACACGTACCTCTCCGGCGGAGTTGAGCAAACCTCGCAAACTTTCCCGTAACTTCTCTGTCGCGTCACGAGTCGCCTCACTGAGCTCGTTTGTGATGAACTCGGCCGGTTTGTGTTGTTAAACTTTCTGTCAGCGGAGCGCCATGACACTTTGGCCGCGGTCTTTCCTCTCGTCAAAATAACAGCTGTCCAAAAAAGCGAGAGGTGTCACTCTGAGGGGAATGTCTGAGCCCCAAAACTGGAGAGGACAACACTCATCTGTCCGGTGTTAAGTTTTCCCACTCTGACATTTTAATGTCGCGGATAAACAGAGAAAAAGTCCCTGTTTTATTTATTTATTTATTTATTTATTTATTTCAAACCGTTTATTATTACGTGTAACTGGGTCCTCGTGACTCCGCAAGCGTGCTCCGTCAATTTGCGGATGGGTGGGGCTTCGGTACTGATCGTGACGAGTGGGATTGGACACGGACTCCAGCGGTCAGACCACACAGTCCCTCACTGTTGATCTGAGCTGTGGTTGAGTCCCTGTCATGCTTCAGCAGGAMAGGAAAAAAAAAAAAACTTAATTATGAGGTCAGTCTTGGAAAAACGACAAACAAACAGTCGTAATTACTGTGTACTAATCTGACAGAAAGTTGCAGATGTTACAGATAGCTACTGTTGATTTTCACTAAGAAATAGGTAAGCCAAATTATGGAATGACTTTTACGTTACAGAATGAAATATTACATCTGTCTTACCAGTGCTCAGTCGAAGCAGAACAAATAAGAAGATTCCACCTTGCACTTACTCTGTGTCCCACATTTAATTTAAAAAAGTTACACCGGTCTTGCATAAAAAGAGAAAAACAATGGTTTAAATTCTCTCTGGCTCTGGGAGGTCATTTCTCAACATTTCCCTTATTTTTGGTCTCTGCAGACGAACTGCTGGTTCTGCTCCGGAGATGGCGTCCCTGCCGTGGTCGGTCCCCAACGTTACCCCTTCCCCTAGCTTCCCGGACAATAGCACCTGCTACAGAGACACAAACAACACTGTTCTCAGTGGAGTCCCCTTCGGAGGAGTGCTGGTCGTGCTATTGCTGGATTTTTCTGTCTTTCTGGTATGTGTTTTACTTCTGATGAGTCCTGTGATCCCAGTTATTTCTAATTATTTCTGTCCTGTCTTCAGAGGCAGGACATTTTCTTTATTCCTCCCAATAAATACACCTTCAAGTATAAATATAGCCCAGGAAAGACAGAACAATGAGCTATAAAGACTCTTCTTATCATCTACAGGTGCTGCTGGTCATCTTCTCGATTATTAGGAGGAAGTTATGGGACCATGGGCGTTTAGCTCTGGTCGCAGACAAGGAAGGGTCAGTTCACAACTTGAAAAACATGAGGCTTGAGCTACGTGTGGTGGACACAATGAAATAAAAAGTGCTGTAAACCAACTGAACTTTGTGTTTCAGACTCACCAAGGCAACACACAGTCGCAATCGACACACCTCATCGCTTGTGTCTACTGAGGAGGCCTTTGAGTATGAACAGGTATTTAAAGGAAAGTCGTTTGATTGCCTGTTTCTGCTTTAACTTCTGGGGCAAACAACTAGACAGTTTGCCAGTTGGCTGTTTTTTCGTACCACTGTTTGTATTCGTCACTTGGAATGATCACGAATATTCTTTGCTGTTTCTTGGGTAACCTGAATAAAACTGCACCTCAGTCATGTCAGGTAGATTTTCATCTGCAATAGTGGTGATTGTTGGGATTGAGGGACCCGTAGCGGCAGAAGTTACGTATTGTACATATAAGATAACCGACATGACATCCTACGGTATAAATATGATTTTAGTCTCAGCTTGCTTTTAGTGAGAAAACGGAGAAGATACCAATAATTCTTTGTCAGTGTAATCTTCAATGTATGTTAGTATGATTAAAATATCTGTCTTTGTCTTTAGGGATTCTGCTCTTGGCTTCCTTACATCATCAGTATGAAGTGAGTGACTGTGGTTCTGCTCTTCCTTTTCTGATCTTTTATTCTCCGCTTGTGGCTCATCTATATCTTTGTTATCATGATTCATTTACAAGATTTGTTGGTTTCCTCTAATCAGTGTCTCTGTGTGTGCTACAGTGATGAACAAATAAAATCCAAAAGTGGCCCGGATGCTGTTCATTACTTATCCTTTCAGCGTCATCTGATCTTCTTGCTGTTCATCATGACTGTCATCTCCCTGTCAGTCATACTGCCTATCAATTTGAGTGGAAACCTACTAGGTGTGTTAGACATCACTGTCTCTGATAACAGCTATAATTTACACATGCTAAATGACACAATGATAATAATATCCAGTGTCTGTTAATGACTGTTCCTTTACAGATGTTAGAGAGTGATCCAGGTGTGTATTTACTAAATAGTTTCTGGTGGCCTCAAGTGAATCAAGCAATCAACATGGAGGGGTTGAACTGTGCCCACTTCATAATCAGTATCTTATCACTATTGTGATTTTATTTCATCAGTGGTTCTGTATATTCTTGTCTCAACCACACAAGATTTAAAAAGTTCCGTTTATCTCTTGCAGGTAATGAGGCCAAGGATTTTGGAAGGACAACTATTGGAAATCTTTCAAATGGGTAACTACTATATCAGACTATGAAATATAATTATAGATGGATGTATGAGTAAAGCTGTGTATTGCAGAGGAGCTTTGTGGTTTGCTCATACCTAAATGTTTCTCTGTGTCTTCTGTTTGCTTCTAGAAACAGCCTGTTATGGGTGCACACAGGAGTTGCAGTTATCTTCTTGATCCTGACAATTATTCTGCTGCGACGTCACACATCTCAAGTACAAGACAGAAGCAGAGAGAAGGTGAGTCTATGATTACTTAAGGAGGATTTATGTCCGATTGTGCAGGTCAGTGGGCAGATCCAGTAGTTGTTATTTTTTCACTTTCTTTAACATTGTGAGATAGGGTGTGTTTTAAAGTTTTTGTTGATTTCATCTCCAAAGAAAAATCTGTATTCCAAAAGTTCCAAAACGTAAACATACACAAAGAAAGGCAGTGCTACTTTATCTATTCAATGCACAATATTCACATTAATATCAATTCATATTTACAGCATCTGTTCAATGCACAATATTTAACTTCTCAGTTCAACAATATATTTCGCAGAGGTGTTTTTGCATGGGCTTTGCATGGATTATGGCCATAAATATGACTATTGTCCAGTGTACTCAAATAATGTCCTGTGTACTATAAAGTATAAAGCCATGCATCTTCCGTTTATGCATATATTTCACAATAAAAAACCCTTTTTGATCAAAATAATTGATTTGGTCAAAAGAAACGCTGGAGTGCTTTTATTTTGAAACGCCTACAGAATGTGTTTGTGACATAAATTCATAAGTTTAACATTGAAACTCAGGTGAAAGATCATTTTCTCTGTTTATTCTGCAGTGAACCACAAAGTTTATCTGTTTATGTCACTAACGTATTTGCACTCCAGCGGTTCATTTCTTAATCCATTCTTTTGTTCTAACGGAGCTTTGATAGTTGTCGACAGACCGGAAGATCCAGGACTTCACACCGTAGAGTCCTGACATTTAGTTCAGTGCATAACCCGACATGTATTGAAGGAAATGCAGGAGATAAACCTGCAGCTCAGCCGCCAGTAGCTTACAAAGCGCATGTGAACAACAGACAACTGACACACAACTGATCTATGGTGCAACCACAGACTGTGAGTCCAGAGAGTTAAAAATGCCTAATTAAAGCTATAACTTATTATAGTGTGTGGTGAATCACATTCATTTGATGTAAGTGACCTGTGAGGAAACCTGATGTGTCTTTCTGTTTTTCACTTTGCAGACCAGAAACACGTTGTTTGTGCGTTCAGTTCCTAAAACAGCGACGGTAGAAGATGTAAAGGCCCATTTCATGTGAGTGGACTGAATAGTTTCCTCCCATAGTCTCCATCTTGTATAAAGTGTACATTTAGTGTTGATGCACCGCATTTGCATGTCAACAGTAGCCACCTGCTCCTCACCTCAATTTCCTGTTTTTCTGCAGAGAGGCGTACCCGACCTGCGAAGTTACGGCTGTGACCCTGGGCTATGATGTGACCAAGCTCATGAGCCTTGATCAGGACAGGTAAGAAGTAACTAAATCAAAGAAAAACATCAGCTACACAGAAACAATTGTAATATATTCTTGGAAACTGCTGAACCTTTTGGCCTCTTAAAATTAACCTGTGAAGATTTATGGAGCACAACTTCACTGTATGTTTCAATCTCATGTATACTGTTCAAAATGCAGGAGTTCATGTGTATGCTTTAAATTCACTAAGTTGAACCAATTTATGCGTTTATTATTTCACCCAGGATTCAAGCAGGAAAAAGTCTACGCTACTATGAGCGTGTCCTAGAGACAACAGGACAACATGAGTTCATTAACCCTCATTTGTGTGGAAAACTCTGTTCCTGCTGCAACTCCAAGAAGGTGAGATGGAACAGATGATAAAATTATGATGAAACAGTTTTTTCTGTTTGTCTTGATGCTTTTATCTTTTTTTTATGGCATGATTTGAGGTAATAATTGAAGCTGGCATGTGAACTATTTTACAGCAAGAGATTATGTCAAGTGTCTGTGTGTGTCCCCTCAGGTTGATGCCATCGAGTACTACAGTACTAAAGAAAAAGACTTTCTTGGAAAGATGAGGGAGCAGGCAGAACTAGCACCAATGCACCCTCTGGGGATGGCCTTTGTGACCTTGCAGACCGAGGCCATGGCCAAGTTGTGAGTAGCTAATTGTTTGTGCATATGTATTTACAAGTTGGAAAAACAGCAGCAACATCTGTAATAATTGTAACATCTGAGAAATGATAAGGTAATCCAGTGGAATAGTAAACATTACTAGCTTTGTGTAATAGTAATAGTATCAGTGATGGATTGATCCAACTTAAATGAGCTACTGTTTCCTTTTTTCGAATGATTTTTTTTTTTACGCCCTGGAAGCAGCAGAATATGGGCTGTTTGTGCTTGTCCTCTGGCCTGATTGGAACAGTTTTCTGTCAGTTTTGATTTTTTACTGGAAACATACCATGGGGCACTTGTCAGTGTCGAGAGCTGGTTAATGTGTATCACCAACTGCTGTTGTTTACTCACCCTAGCATTCTGAAAGACTTCAACGCGCTCAAGTGTGTTGGCAAAAGCTTCTGTTGTGGGAGCGAGCCACAGCCTTCGTCCTGTAGTGTATGTCTGAAAGTAAAAAAGTGGAGAGTCAGCTTTGCACCTCACCCCAAGAATTTATACTGGTAAGGTCTGCCAGCCCAACCCCTCACACAGTATTTGCTCCTTGCTCATCGTTAGACTTGTAGTTTTTTTGTCTGATCCAAAACAGTGAAGCCCAATTCATTATATTAAATTCTGGTTTGATTATTATTTAATCTTACTCACATTTGTCATATTGTATCACTATTGGAACCGTAAGAATATTCCTGTTTACATTGTGACACGAATTCTAACCATATCAAACAATGTATTGACGAGGCACAGCAAAGACAATAGTTCATTATGTAGTGAAATTGATAATTTGTCCCACTCCAGTGTAAATCCTGCTTGTAAATTGCATATAATCTGCTAATTAACTGTAAACTACTGCAAATAATGCCATCTACAAATGTCATCTTAAGCCAAATATCAACATTTAAAACATTGTGCTTTTGTTGCCTGATGAAGAGGAATAGAGAGGAATAAGAGTTGACCCCTTTTCTATATGTTGTGCTTCCTCTTTGTGTGTAACTGTCCTGTTGCTTGTGTTTTTCCTACAGGGAGAATCTGTCAGTGCGGGGTTTTCACTGGTTCACGCGCTATGTGATAATAAACTTGTCCCTCTTCACCCTGCTCACCTTCCTCACGACTCCCACCATCATAATAAACACCATAGACAAGTTCAATGTGACAAAACCCATCACTGATCTTAACGTGAGACGGGCCACATGCAGACACACATTTATTTGTCACGAGTTTGGGTTAAAAGATGAAAATCTACAGTTTGTTATGCTTTCTTTCAACTTAGAGCCCCATTGTCAGTCAGTTCTTCCCCACTCTACTGCTGTCGACCTTCTCTGCATTGCTTCCCACTGTAGTCTACTATTCTACTCTAGGAGAAGCCCACTGGAGCAGGTATCACACACACACACACTCACACACACACACACACACACAGTGATTGGTTACTGTTAGTTTAGAGGACAGGTTTTTAATCCCGCTGCTTCTGTCTCTCAGGTCCAGTGAGCAGCTGAGCATGATGCGTAAACTCTACATATTCCTGCTCTTCATGGTGCTCATCCTCCCCTCACTAGGACTCACCAGGTAATTGTGTTATCATCAGTGTTAGTAAGCAAACCGGGATCTTACACACTTAAAAATGATGGCGTGTAAGATGTATTTGCAGTTGATGTTAGTATGTATCCACAGTAAAATAATGTATCCAGGAAAAACATTTTTTTGTCTTTACAGTCTCGCATTTTTTTTCCGCTGGCTGTTTGATCACACATTCCTCACCAATGGGACAGTAAGGTTTGAGTAAGTAAATCTCTTTTCTGCTTTCTGCTTTTTTTAAACTTAAATCAAAAATGTAACAATTCATTTTAGGCATACAGTAAGATCCCTTTCCTTCCTGTAGCAGTCAGGTTTTGAATCAAGTTTCAAATTTGACATTATCTTCTCAGGTTTAGTTGCTCATTTACAACAGTTTCTCTACAGTTGTGTTTGTCTTGCATGTTGCCTGTTGGGTATTATAGTTTGTAAACATAATTAAAGTTTCTTAAACTTTCTGATTCTCTTTAATACATTTTTCTCATTAGTTCTATTTTATTGTCCTCCTTTCTTTTATTCGTTTGTTTTGCTTTCCTTCCTTACACCAGGTGCGTGTTTCTGCCTGACCAAGGGGCGTTTTTTGTCAACTATGTGATCGCAGCGGCTTTTGTGGGCTCTGGGATGGAATTGCTGCGGTTGCCAGGGTTATTACTTTACATCATTCGTTTGGCATCCGCACGCTCTACCGCTGAAAGGAAATATGTCAAACAGGTTTGTCACAGTATTGTCCACTAGAGGACGGTTATACATGATCGCTAAGTGAAAACACAAAAAGCTTTTTCAATGAGGGCATGTTGAAGAAATCTTTAGTTCGGAAAATAGGTGTATGTAGGCCTGTAAACAGCTGGACAGTATGTGATTTAAACATTTCATGATTAATATGATTCTTACTAACAGATTTATGAAGTGTTTTTAGGGACAATTCAAACTAAAATTGAATATTTTTCTGCAATTTACTTTATTCTCAGCCTCATTTTTAACTTTCTCTTACAGAGCCAGGCTTACGAATTTGCATATGGAGCCATGTATGGCTGGACCCTCTGTGTGTTCACGGTTATTACGGCTTACAGCATCATTTGTCCAATCATTACGCCTTTTGGTGAGTAGTTAGGTCGGCTCTACACAAACATGCACCTGTACACACACCAAACACCTCAATGTCCCGTGTGTGTGTGTGTGTGTGTGTGTGTGTGTGTGTGTGTGTGTCTGACTCCATTAGGTCTACTGTACATACTGCTGAAGCACCTGGTGGACAAGCACAACCTCTACTTTGTCTACCTGCCTGCCCGCCTCGACCGCCATGTCCACCTGGGAGCTGTCAGTAAAGCCATGGCCGCACCCATCATCTGCCTTATATGGCTTTACTTCTTCTCTGTCCTCAGAACAGGTGAGAAACAAACATGGGCTAAACCTGAAAAAAGTGGACAGCACATTCACTAATGGTGGTTAAGCACAAGTGCAGAACTGTATCTATTGATTTTTAAAACATGAAGTCAAACTTAAAAATAAGTGTGTCAAGATTTTACAGCATGTTGCATCCTACATTATTTACAGAATATTACATGCACAGAATCTATAATGTTTGTTACTGAAAACAAATGGTATTTCTTCCTCTATTAATTTTTATCCAAACTAACACACAAATCTGTCAGATGATCCAGTTTCTTGCCATAATTCTTCCGAATATATATAATGTGTTGAAATGACAAGCAGCTACATAATGAGAGAAGTCCTCATGTCAGTATTTCTGAATGCCTGTTTGGTGTTTTTAGGTTTCTGGAGCTCCACATCTCTCATCACACTGGTGGTTGTGTTTATCACTATCTTCATTTGCATTAGCTACATGTGCTTCGGCTTTTTCAAGTACCTCAGCCCACACAACTATACGGTGAGCATTTGTGAGTGCATATGTCAGACACATCTTCACCATCCCTCAGACCGAGCCGGTCCTCATATTGTTTGTGTTCTTATGCAGGTGAAAGAAGAGGACAAGGAAGAGGTAGCTGAAGTAAATGCTGAGGTACTGCACTTGTTCTTAAACAAATTCCACAGTGAGAATAAATATATTCATTTAACTTACCTTAAATAATAACTACAGTACAAACAATAAGTTGTAAAATTGAGACAATTCAAATTTAAAACTTGAAGATTGCTCAGAGAGGGAGTACCACTTTTCATGTCAAAGAAAGTGAAAGAAAATCCTGGATTATCCACATCTGCTCCAAAATGTAATGAGTTTGGGTCAAGCCTCACCCCTCCACAAAATTTTACAAAAATGTATTTTAGTAGTTTTTGCATAATTCTATTAACTAAAAATAGACAAACACTGATAAAAAACATAAACTCCTCGGTGGAGACAACAATACCAGGACATTTCAAAGTGCTATAAAGAACCTAAATCAAGTCCAGTTGCCTTCATATAGCACTGAAATATATTCATATGTTGAAGTCCTGACTGATCTCAGCAGTCATTCTTGTCGTTCACATCTGATGCGTATTAGTTTGCGAGATATAACGAGACAGTTCTTAATTGTAAGCATTCCTTTGTATCAAAGTCATTCTTACGACACAACTTGTAATAATGCATCAAACACCTCAGGAAAATGAAAAGAAAACACAAAAGTGAATATTGGGAAACACTTCAGAGCCTTTTTGTTTGTTTTCACAACTCATTTCTCTCGTTTTATATAATTACAGGTGTATCTTCCCAGAGTGCTTAATCCTGAATCACCTGCCAGCACCGTACAGGGGTCCAATCATCAGTCTTATGGAGCCACAGACAGCAGCCGGACCAGCAGCCTCAGTCCAGTAGAGGGAAGCATGTCAGCTGATTCAGTGCATTTCATCACAGATCACCAGAGGCAAGACTCCTGATTATAAATCAGCCTTCTTCAGTCAGAGTTTGAAGTCACCTACACCATACTGCCTGACGCAGCTCATCGAGAAAACATCTCTAGATGGTTCCAGAGAAGGAAAGTGCGCTGGGTTCCAAAGACCAGGGGCCTCATTTATAAAACAGTGCTTAGGATTCATACTAAAAGTGTATGTGCTTTGATATGTTTTATTCACTTCAAACACATACCCGTCGGCTAATTAACCAAGAGTGGTGAGTACTTGTGTTTGTACTGGAGTGATTCAGTTCCATCGTATCGTTCTGTGTAATACTGAATCCAGTTCCACAGAATCTAAATTGGCTGATTGTCATTGGACAGGAAATCTTTGTCACCGCTGAACACTTACTCTCTCCTTGTCTTTTCATTCGCATAAAGGCCTCTATCATTGCATCCATGACGCAGCATTATGCACAAGTGTCATAGAAATATTCATATATTTACAGAGGGATTATTTCACACCCTGAAACTTGATCAGGACAATCAACCCTTACCTCCACCCTGGGACATGATTTGGAGGTTTGAAGGTGAAAACAGTGGCTCTGTGGGCCTGGCAGCACAGTCATGTTCACTGCAGCACGATATTAAAACTAGTGGTGTACTTGGTGATGCATGCACTGGGTCAGAAGATACATGTATTACAAACTGCTAATTGCTATGGCTATGTTTTAACAGCACAAGTAACACTGCTGGTTTCAATGTTTAAGATAAAGTGGATCAATGATCTGGCATCAATTCACCACCTTACTTCTGCATCATCACTTTCCTGTCCCCCAAAATGTTCATGAACATGGGTCAGAGTTTACGTAAAAGTGCGCACATTCTCCCGTCAAGTTTTTTTAATCCCAACTTTAGAGAGCCCACTTCATGCATGTGCAACAGTTATAAATGAGGCCCCAGCTGTCGTGTGAAACCAAGCTTCCTCTCTTAATCGTGTCAGTCACAAAACATGGCTTCATGTTTCCCTCCGAGATCTCTCTCTGATAAGGACCAAGTCACCAAGGAATGTTGAACCAAAACCTGCCATTTTAATCAAGCCATAATGTTTGTGGAAAAAACACAGACATATATTTCATTGCACATGAATTGTAAGAGGCAAAAAATGCAATTAACTAGAAAATTGAAGCCACTGTCGCTGATGCCAAAGAGGAGTTCTCTGTGTCTCCACATTTCTCCAGTGCCTTTTTTGATGCTACATGAAGACATCTACTGCCAAGGGAATAATTTTTGCCAAATTAATAATGCACTTTTTGTATCAAGAGAGGACTGTGTTTTTGTGTAGTAACAAGAGCTAAATATTTTTACTTCTTTAATAAGACAAAAGAACAAATTTTTGTATAAGTATTTCAGGCATTTTGTAATCATAAGTGTGAGAATATTTAAGCTGTATATTGCCATTGTTAGATATTATTTTCATCATTCAAGGTAAAAAAAAAAAAAAGTTCTCATTAATGTACGAATGTTTTTGAAAAGGTCAAACATTTTTCTATTTAATGTACGGTGGCGTCATGTGTTTGTAGCTTTGTGCATTTTAACAAAGAATTAAACCATTAAAACAAAACTGTTCTGACTGCTTCTTGTCATTTGGGGGCACTGTTGAGCTGCAGTTGAGAAGCTTACACTCTGGTTTAATTTGGTTCCCCATCTTGTTCATGAAGTATTGCTGTAATTGTAAAATCAAAAAAAGTCTTGACTTGAAGCTAGTGGTCTCCTATCACAGCTTACACTAGGATTTCCATGCATTTGCTCGTCTCGACTTCTGTTACTCACTCAGTTGTGGTTTTACTCAGAAATCAAACCACCATCTACAGTTAGTCCAGAATGCTGCCGCGCGGGATTCTAACACAATCCATAAATATAACCATATCACCCACTGACTCCCAGTTTATTAAAAGGAGACTTTGGGAGCCCGTGAGGGCCCGTACACTTTGAAACAATCTGCCAGAAGAGAAAAATCAGTGACCTTTGTTGTAAAGAACTTTGTTACTTGTATTGAAAAGCGCAATACAAATAAAGTTATGATTTTCTCCTTCCATTTTGCCTTTGGCACTGAAGAACTGTAGTTTTTAGGTTGGCGGCATATTAATAGTCCCTTAAAGTAGGGAGGGATATATTACGTAAGAGAAGTCTGTTTGTCTTTCCCTCAAGTTCTGGGAATATCATAGAGTCTATGCAATTTGTTTATAGTAATCAACTGCTTATAGTGATCATTTTGGCCCGGGACAAATGTGATCGCTATAAACAGCTTCCACTGTAAAACTACACATTTGCTTGTTCCATTCCTGTAATTGATTGGCAGGGACCTTACCTGGTTGGGACATAAATAGATAGTCTTAGATTGCTGTTCCAAGAGATATCAGTTTGCCCCTGATAACTGCCTTTAAAGCATCCCATAGTATAATTGGGTTTACCTCCCTATTGTCATTAAGATCAATTTAATCAACCAATCAATGTAATTTCAGATTTAACTTCTTGACTCCTTTGTTGTTAAGCAGACTTGCATTGTGTATCTAAATTGTTGTATTTAGTCTACAATCCAAATGTAATGCCAAGTAGTAGGTTAGGGATCTGATGTTCCTGGTTCTAATATCACTGTTCCAAAATGCACATTTAGAAAAGCTGCAAAAGCATGATAAAAAGGAGTCCGAATGGTACAGTGGCTCCTGTTGTATCTATTTACAAAAATTTATTTACAGTCAGGACTCACAGGGATCATGTCTCACAGATTAACTCCACTACATCAGTGTATGGGTCTTCCACCACTGGACTGGTTCTGATGGTCTGGCTGTTGGCTGCATCTTCAAAAAGGTCATGAATTACATTTTTTGCTGAATCAGACTGATTTTTAGCCACTGGACTGACTCTGATTTTCAGGCTGCAATCTGCAGCTTCATCAGTCTGCTGAATCATGGTGCGGGCAGGTGCTTCAGGATGAAGCACCCTAGGAAGGTAGACCTGTAATTATACCGTTCAAAAGAGAGAAATGAGTACCGAAAAAAACTAAATGGTTTTTCTCAATACTCACTTTTGTGTTTTCTTTTATTTCACTTTTGTGTTTTCTATTATTTTACTTTTGTATTTTTAATGCAATATTGCAATATTGTTATTTTACTGTGAATATTGTTTGATTACACTACCTCTTGTTCTTCCTCAGCTACCTCTTCCCTGTCTTCTTTTTTCACCTGCATAAGAACACAAACAATATGAGGACCGGCTCGTTCTGAGGGATGGTGAAGATCTGTCGGACATATGCACACACATGCAAAAACTCACCTTATAGCTGTGTGGGCTGAGGTATTTGAAATAGCCAAAGAACTTCTGTGCCATGCAGACAAAAGCAGTGATCAATGGAAACACCATGGTGAAGATAGCTATGGAGCTCCAGAAACCTAAAAACACCACACAGGCATTGAGAAATACTGACATGAGGACTTCTCTCATTATGTAGCTGCTTGTCATTTCAACACATTATAATAACATATATTTGGTCCACAGTTCACTGGAAGAATTATGGTGTGAAACTGGATCATCTGACAGATTTGTGTGTTACATTTGATCAAATTAATTTCCAGGAGCAAGCTGAAGCAACATAGCTAAAATTCAGTAAATGAATGTAGAGTGACCACATGCAACATGCAGGACATTTTGCTTTTGTTTTTAAATTTTAACATCAGGTTTTTAACATCAATAGATATAGTTCACCACTTGTGCTCATCTACCATTAGTGAATGTACTGAGGTTCACATTTTCAGGTTAGGCCCATGTTTGTTTCTCACCTGATGTGACGCCAAAGTAGAAGTAAAGCCACAGAAGGCAGATGATGGGTGCGGCCATGACCATGTTGATAGCTTCTATGTGGACATGGCTATTAAGGGGGTTGGGAAGGTAGGCAGAGTAGAGGTTGTGTTTGTCCACAAAGTGTCTTATTGACATGAACAGTAGACCTGATGGAGTCAGACACATATACACACACACGCACACACACACACACACACACACACACACACACACACACACACAACCTTTAAGAAGCACACCATGTAAATGACTGGATATACATCGTATGCATAAAAGTGAAAAGGGGACATTGAGGTGTCTGGTAAAGTGAATTGAGTGTGTACAGGTGCATGTTGGTGTAAAGCAGACCTAACTACTCACCAAAAGGCGTAATGATTGGACAAATGATGCTGTAAGTCGTAATAACGGTGAACACACAGAGGGTCCAGCCATACATGGATCCATATTGAGATGCGTAGGCCTGGTCCTGTAAGAGAAAGTTAAAAAGAGGCTGAGAATAAAGTAAATTGCAGAAAAATATTTCATTCTTGTTCAAATGTTCCTTAAAAAGACTAAATCTAAATAGTTAGAATAATATGAATAATTAAAAATTCCCTGATGGAAAAAGCCTGTTCTGAACATGGTAGCATTTATAATACAATTAACAATAAGTTATTAACTATAACTTGTAAATGTTATATATTTATATCCCTTTCTGCTTTTACTACGTGTCGGGTATGACATTCCTTTAGTGGACAATACTGTGACTAACCTGTTTGACATATTTCCTTTCAGCTGCAGAGCGTGCAAATATCAAACGAAAGATATAAACCAGTAAGTCTGGAAACCGCAGCAATTCCAACACAGAGCCCAAAAACGCTGCTGTGATCACATAGTTGACCACGAATACTCCCTGGTTAGGCTTAAACAAACACCTGGTGTAAGAAGGAAGAGGAAAATAAACAGTTAAAAACACAATGAGAAAAATGCATTAAAGACAATGAGAATTATGTTTACAAACTATAATAACCAGCAGGTACATTTTTGATGATGTGAATAGCACAACTGTTGTAAATGAGCAACTAAACCCGAGAAGACAATGTTAAATATGAAACTTGACAAAACCTGACTGCTACAGGAAGGAAAAGGATCTTGCTGTATGCTCAAAATTAATTATAACATTTTTGATTAAAGTTTAAAATAGCAAGAAGCAGAAAAGAGAAATTTACTTACGCAAACCTCAATGTCCCTGTGCCGTGGAAAAAGCGTTCAATCAGCCATTCTAATAAGCCTGCAATACTGAAAAATACAAATAAAAAGAATTACAAAAATGCACTAATTGCTAATCTCTGAATTACTGTACATATTATGGATGCTGGGAACTGTTGCTTATTAAATCTGGTGTAACACAAATTACCTGGTGAGTCCTAGTGAGGGGAGGATGAGCACCATGAAGAGCAGGAAAAAGTAAAGTTTACGCATCGTGGTCAGCTGCTCACTGGAGCTGAGAGACAGAAGCAGCAGGATTAAAACCTTTACTCTAAGGTAACGGGAATCATGTGCATGTGAGCGTGTGTGTGAGTTAGTGTTTGTACGTGTGTAATACCTGCTCCAGTGTGATTCAAAGGATGTAGAATGGTAAACTATGGAAGGAAGCAATGAAGAAAACACCGCCAGCAGAAGAGTGGGGAAGAACTGACTGAGAATGGGAACCTAAGGTGAAAACAAACATAACAAACTTTAGCTTTTAACCCAAACTCGTGCTAAAAATATATGTGTGTCTGCATGTGCGAGCCTCACCATGAGATTGGTGAGGGGTACTGTCACACTGTTCAATGCATTCACATTCATGGAGGGAGTCGTGAGGAATGTGACCAGGGCCAGGAGGGCCAAGTTGACGAGAAGAAATCGCCCAAACCATTTGAACCTCTGCACTGACAGATTCTTCCTGTAGGAAAAACACAAGCAACAGGAAAGTTACACACAAAGAGGATCTTATTCCTCTCTATTCCTCTTCATCAGGCAACTAAACCACAATATTTTGAATGTTGATATTTAGCTAAAGATGATTTAGACATTTGCAGATGACATTATTCACAGTAACTTCTAGAATGATGAGTGCATGGAGCACATACTGAGGGGTCGGTGTGGAGGACCTTACCAGTTGATGGATCTGGCAAAAGTTGCGAATTTGACTCTCCAATTCTTCACTTTCAGACCTTCACTTTTGGATGAAGACTTGGGCCTTCTTCCGCAGAAGAATGTCTTGCACTTGACAGCGTTGAAGTCTTTCAGAACTCTGGTGTGAGACAGCAACAGCAGTTGGTGATATCCATTAACCAGCCCTCAACACTAGCATGTACCCTGTGGTTTGTTTCCAGTAAAAAGAAAATTCATGCCATGACAATAAAACTGATGTAAAACTGTTCTGATCAGTCAATGGACAAGCACAGTCATTGAAAAATAAAAAGAGTGGCACAAAAGAATGGTCAAAGAAAGAAGTAATGCAGTTTGATCAATCCCTCGCTCATATAGCAACAACTAATGCTATTACACGCAAAAAATTACATTATCACTTCTCAGGTTGCTGCTGTTTTTCCAACCTGTAAATACAGACATATGCACAAACATATAGCTACTCACTGTTTGGCCATGGCATTGGTCTTAAAGGTCACAAAGGCCATCCCCAGGGGGCGTGGTAATTCCTTTTCCAGCTCCTCCCTCATCTTGTCCAAGAGGTGTTGTTCTTTATTTCTGTAGAACTCGATGGCATCAACCTGAGCGAACACACACAGACACAATGATTACAACTTCACATAATCTCTCGCTGTAAAATACTTTGCACATTTGCTTCACTTACTTTGCCTGCAAATAAGAAACAATGATACAACCTACAAAAACTGTCTTTAGTACAATGTATTTTGTTTTACCATAAATTCCATCTCACCTCCTGAGAACTGCAACAGCACCGGAGTTGGCCACACACACGAGGGTTGACCTTCCTAGGTTTTTCTGAGTTCTCTGGGATAGACTTGTAGTAGTGCAGGTGTTCTCCTGCTTTAATCCTTGAAAACAAACATAGAAATTGGTTGAAGTTAGTAAAAGTAAACCTAACCATTTAAAACATATACTTCTAAACATAGAATTTCCACTTCATGCTGGTGCTTGCTACCAACTCCTTTGCAGACAAGCATATATGTAAATATTGAACAGTCTATATGGCTACAATGTCCAGTAGAGTTGCTGGGATCTATTACAATTCTCTATGTGGGTTTATAGCAGCAGGCCACCTATTTCACACATTCCTTATCAAAATGAATAATATATAGTTGCTCGCTTACACATGTTAGAATGTTTTTTCATTTATTTAGTTACTTCTAATTTCTTACCTGTCCTGATCAATGCTCATGAGCTTGTTCACGTCATAGCCCAGGGTCACGGCCGTAACTTCGCAGGTCGGGTACGCCTCTCTGCAGAAAAACAGGACATTGAGGTGAGGAGCAGTTGGCTACTGTTGACATGCAAATGCGGTGCATCAACACTAAATGTAAACTTTATACAAGATGGAGACTATGGGAGGAAACGTTTCAGTCTACTCACATGAAATGGGCATTGATATCTTCTACCGTTGCTGTTTTAGGAACTGAACGCACAAACAAGGTGTTTGTGGTCTGCAAAGTAAAAAAAAAAAGACACATCAGTCACGTTTACTCACAGGTGACATCAAATGAATGGTATTCACCACACTATAATCAGTTATAGCTGTCATTACGCATTTAGGTCCTCATAAACAGATGTAATCCAATATTAAGAGTAAAATGGAGGTAGAGCATACCTCTGCCAAGGCCTAACAGCTCTCTTAGGAAATCAACCAAAATGTTGAAAAAGGCCCGATCTCACAATGTTAAAGAAAGTGAAAAAAGGGACCAGCATTCAATTTCAATGGGTTCTGCTTTGAGTCATGCCCCACCCCTCCACAAAATTTTATTTTTGTGTCACCCTGCTAAATAACAACAAACAAATGCAGATATAACCTCCTAGGCAGAGGTAACTAATAGAAACAGTTTGGGAAAAAAAGTCTCTGAACTCCATAAATGTAAGTATCAGTGAGTCAGTTTAAATGTGGATGATCAGAACATTCTGAAAAATAACATCAAATCTGACAGTCTAGTCCCGAGTAATCGTAGACTCACCTTCTCTCTGCTTCTGTCTTGTACTTGAGATGTGTGACGTCGCAGCAGAATAATTGTCAGGATCAAGAAGATAACTGCAACTCCTGTGTGCACCCATAACAGGCTGTTTCTAGAAGCAAACAGAAGACACAGAGAAACATTTAGGTATGAGCAAACCACAAAGCTCCTCTACATTACACAGCTTTACTCATACATCCTTGTACATTTATTTTTTAATTTCATACTCTGATAGAGTAGTTACCCATTTGGAAGATTCCTGATAGTTAATCCTTCGAAATTAACATCGGCTGAAAGAGATAAACAGCACATTTTAAATTAAACTGTGGTTGAGACAAGAACGTGAACAGAAAAATACAGGCCACCTAAACCAGCGTTCAGTCAAAACCACTGACAAAATGAAAATCACAATATAGTGACAAGACACTGATTATGAAGTAGAGACAGTTCAACCCCTCCATGTTGATTGCTTGATTCACTTGAAGCCACCAGAAACTATTTAGTAAATACACACCTGAATCAGTTTCTAACATCTGTAAAGGAACAGTCATTAACAGACACTGGATATTATTATCATTGTGTCATTTAGCATGTGTAAATTTGAGCTGTTATCAGAGACAGTGATGTCTAACACACCTAGTAGGTTTACACTCAAATTGATTGGCAGTATGACTGACAGGGAGATCAAAGTCATTAGGAACAGCAAGAAGATCAGATGGCGCTTAAAGGATAAGTAGTTAATTCCGTCCAGGCCACTTTTGGCTTGTATTTGTTCATCACTGTAACACACACAGAGACACTGATGAGAGGAAACCAACACATCTTGTATACGAATCATGATAAAACAGATATAGATGAGCCACAAGTTAAGAAACATTGATAAACAAGGAAGAATCAAACCATAGTCACTTACCTCAAATTGTAGGTGAAACGAATCCAAGACAAGAATCCCTAAAGACAAAGACAGATATTTGGATCACATTAACATACAATAATATTGATATCTGACTGGCTAATTGTCTAGCAGAGTGTTTTCCCTTTGCCATGCGTTATTTGCCCCAGGAGCATATATGGCAAACTAACTATTTTCTTTTAAATACCTTTTCAGCTGCAGTAGATGGAAGTGACGCATTTCCATTACCGTGTCCTTCCTCCATTACCCTGAAATACAAAGATCACAGCACTTTTCATATTCATTGTGTCTACCACACATAGCTCAAACCTCATATTTGTCAAGTTGTAAACTGACTGTGCATTGTCTGCAACCAGAGCTATACGCCCATGGTCGCAACACTTCGTCCTGATGAGGCAGAACAGTAATAGCAGCAGCTGTAGATAAAAAGAAAAGTCATTATAGTTTATTACATTTGTCTCTTTCTTTGACTTTGTTTGTATTTGAAGATGTATTCATTCATAAGAACTCTATATTAGTTTGATCAGAGTCACATCAGAAGTAAGATACAAACCAGAAAGCCACCACAATTGAGTGCTAAAACCATGGGCACTCCTCCGAAGAAGATTCCATCGAAACTGCTGTTGCGGCCGGAGCAGGTAGCATTTTGTGGGATGAAAATGGTACTGGCCTGTTGAATCGGGAAAGAGGGAGTATTGATGCCATTTTGCAACCAAAATTGTTGTTTGGGAGGCATCATTGGAGTAGAACCTGCTGTTTAATCTGAAGAAGGTATCTGCAGACACAAAAAATAGGAGAAATGACCTCCCAGAGCCAAAAGTGCTCCAACAGTGTGAAGAAAAACTTAATCTGTTGGTTTTTTTAATCCATACACTGCAAAACTGTTTTTACATTAAATGTGGGTCACAGTGTCCAAGGTCGAATCTGCAAATGTTTTGCTTCGTCAAAGCAATGGTGAAAAATATGTAATATACCATTTAAATTCTACTAAGCATCTTTTGTAAAATTTTATAAAAAACAGCTCTTTGCCACCTGTGAAAAGTCATTCCATAATTTGGCTTACATTAATTTTCTTTAAAATGCAGCGCTGCCTTTGAGAAGTAGAGTATGAAACATTGAAGATTCACTGGTTCTACAAAAGTAGACTTGTGAAATTGCTGAACGTCTTGAAACTTTTATGTGAATGTTATGGTGTCTTTCCCTTTCATTCACACACAGATTTGTCTTATCCTTTAATGGCATTCAACATCTATCATAAGCAAGTGGTCCTAGTTCAAAGACAGAGCAGATCAAAGCAAATAGACAGTTTTTTTTATTTATTTACAAAAAGGCAAAAATAATCTTTACAATAAATTCGGGCCCATAAAAGGTCAGCCTAACATAATTAAACTCAGACACCAACTGAGGACTACTTAACAGGACAAACTGACCTCCTCAACTAAGACACAGGGGAAAGGTATATAGGGCTGATCAGGCCATACGAACACAAAGGGGGATAGACTAAGACATAGTAAAATTTAAACAAACTACAACAACCACAAAACATAACAGTATA